ACCCAACATGTACAGAATTTTAGATGGCTTCATTTCCAGACTTTTAGGAAATAAATTTTTGATTTATTTAAATAAAGAGGATATGACCAACTTGATTAAACTAGTACATGAAAAGTTCTCACACTATGGGGTAAATAAATGTTTTTCCATAATTAGAGAACGGTTTAACAGTCACAAATTAAGAAAATTAATTGTTAACATATTAAAGTGCTGTGAAGTTTGCCAGTTTAATAAAATTAGACCGAAATCGATTGCACCTTACCAAATTTTCTAGTGGGAGGAAAGTTAGAATTAGTGTCTGTAGATTATTTAGGACCATTTGTAACTTCATGTGGTCATAAATATATCTTGTGGTTATTGATAATTTTACCAAAATTATATCCTACTAGGAAAGCCAATTTGTTAGGTGCCCGAAAGTTTATCGTTTGCTATATTGAAGAAGTCAGCAATCCATTAAAGTGTTGACACGGTATAAAAAATATAAATACAAGTTCATAAGTAAATGTAAGCATAAACACAAGTTCGCGAGAAGTAATGAAAAACACACACACACACACACACACACACACACACACACACACACACACACACACACACACAAAAAAAAATAGAGGTGTATTACAATATCTGCGCCTACTGCTTGATGCCAAACATAACAAATGGGCAAGTAAACTATCTAAGATAGAGAACACTATGAATTCAACATACCACACAACTACAGATATAACACCTGTCCAGGGTATGTTTGGAATTATATCTGAATAACAATATTGAAGGACTTAATAATCAAGGCTGCAGTTTACATTAAAATTTGCAATATTATATATAATGGTTATAACGATGTAATAAAGGCTTCTTGGAGTTTTTAGAAAAAATGATCGTATATAGCGACAGTTGAACTCTTAAAAACCTTTGTGTTTATATCTCACTTCTCGAGGAAATATTTTATTTCATTCGTTCTCTATGTAAGAATTACATTTATAGGGCCAATTTCCTCTTAGTGCTAAATTAGTAGTTTAATAAGAATAACGAACAGCAAAAAGTTTTAGATATAAGAAAAATTCTATATATGTTGCCGACTGGAGACTGAAAAGTCTAATAATATCTTGGCTCAAGAATTCAACATAAATCTTACAATTTGAAAAAAATGCGAATCTAATCGAGGACATGCTGAATCAGCTATACCCAAAAAACAACGACTACCTATCTACTTATGACAAAATCGGTTCTTCTCAATATTCCGCAATTAGATAAGGAGGTACCAACAATTTTATTTAAAGGAAGGATTTATAGCTAGTAACAATTTTAAATTGTAGATAAACCTCATCTGAACACACAATTTTGTTTAGTCAGTTGAACACTTGCTTTCTTTAAGCAAATTTAAATTAACGAGGCGAAATTTGAAAATTTTCATTTAAAGGAAAAACTGACGGCTGAAATTTTGATGACATAAAGAATATGTTCCTAAAAGAATACAGCTTGACTGACGACGTCAAAGTCATCACATTAGGGCAGTCTGATAGTAGTAGGCTGAAAAACAAATTAAAATAATCGGTTTCTCTATGTTTTTTTTTTTTTTTTTTTTTTTTGGGATACTGATTTGAATTTGACGTTCTCAAACAAAATGTTCCATTGAGTATCCAGATATACACAAAAACATCAAAATTTCCGAACTTTTTTTAGTTTTTTGGACATGACTCTGAAACTGTGAATTTTATCGAAATTATTATTATGTACCACACTAAAGAAGATCAAATTTACTATCAATTTTATGCATAGCTTTTTGATGTAGGGCTAACGGGTGAGCAGTAAGAGAATATTGACTGTTAGCATTTTTCACAAGAAAAATCTATTTTTGTTGGTTTTCCCTCAAAACTCATAATCATAACATGTATAGAAGAAATACAATATAATCAATTTGAAAGAGCATTAAGTTTTGTATGTACCTCATACAGACACAAGATAAGAAGATTAAACAGCTGTTAAAGCTCAGAGAATCGAAGTTGTATTTCCCTTGTAGTATCTGCCGCTCACAAACTAAGTGCTTTTTATCTTTACAATGCTTTATTTTCGGCTAATTTAACTATTTTATAACAGAACTAGGATGTATAAACATATTTTATAGCTTTTATATATTCTGTTGATATGCATAACAATCATCACAAAATTAAGGATCAAAATGCGTTTTAAAGTCCGAGCGGTCCAACGACATTTTGCTTATTTGCATATTACGACTCTATCTAAGCATGAATTATGTGAAGCTGACAACATTCTCCTTTAGTTAACCAACGAATAGATGTATACTTACAGAAAGTAAATAGTATTATTATATTTTTCTTTTTTTAAAAGCAATGTTTTAACTCCATTTTGCTTACATTTTATTCATTACTACCCTTGTTTAATTCTAATATAACGGCCAGGGCCAATATTGATAGTGACAAGTGTATAGATATAGATTATATAACGATATAAACATGAAGATGGGCTGGTTGTCTATAACAATTATACATTATAACAACGAAATTTACCAGATCTCTTAAGGTCATTATATTAATCCACTGTATATTAATTCCAATTTAAAAAAAGAATATTTTCGAATTTAAAAAATTCTCTGACTTCAACAATTTTTCTCTGACTTTTCCCGGTTTTGAAAATTCCCTGACTTTTCCAGGTTTTCTCGGTTTTCCAGGTCGGTAGTCTGATTGTCAGTAATCCACATCTGAGATAAATAAATATATTAATTCTCTTATAATTTTGTTTATTATTATAACAACCTCTTATTGATTTAGGAAGTATCCTAATAGTATTAAAGTGATCTTCTGAGGTTATATTATTATTATTTGTAAAATATAAGAGAGGTGTTACAGTATGGATATTTAATATGTATAGTTTACAAAATTTTAATATACCTAGTGCCACTGTATCAACTTTCTTTTATAGCTGATAAAACAAGATTAAACCTTAGCTCAAAGAACAAGGGGCACAGAAAACTTTGTCTAACAATAAGCAAAATTTAAGAAACTTTTAAATTTGATGGCTCAAATTATTCCGTGAGATCCCTTGAGTTTTGCTAAAACATATGTATTGATTTTTTGAGTAAATGGCTGAATAAATTTGTGGTAGAGAGCTGCTAGTATTTACTCCTTAATGTAAGATTGAGTGAGGGAATGAGAAGAAATGTAAGGTTGCACTATGAATCGTACTCAATTGTGCAGTGGTTTTTGAAAAGTATCAAATCGATATACAATTGACAAAAAAGGTATAGAACAAAGAAAGGAAAAAGCCTGGAAAAGTGCTGGCAGGTGGCAGCAGCTGGAGAAGGACATGGGAAAACAAATAAAACATTTCAGGTGGGGACAGGAAGAAGGAAGGAGGTTATCAGAGAAGAGAATCCCACTCCACTGAAGATTAAGAAGATCAATTCATTTATTACAGTTGTGGAAATAAATTATTTTGTTATACAGGAGTGAATAGTCCTTTTATTTAGTTGTCCTATATGCCTCACAATTGAAGAATAACAAACCAGGTGAGTCAATTCATTCAAAGTGTATTTACTCAGTTCCACATTTCATATATATATATATTTCTCTTATTATTTCTTATCACTCAGTGTCACAAAAGCATTAGATTTCCGAATACCCTCAAGAAGTTTATATCCAGTGCCAGGTTTTGTTTTAAAAAAATTTAAATTCACAAGTTTAAATAAACTAGACCCCAACAAAATCATTAGGTTATTTACATATTTTTAAGTAAGATATATTATATTATTCAGTGAGGTCCTGTGAGTGTTTAGAAAGCGAAATTACACAAGGGTCATGTTTTCAGGGTGTCCGTTAAAAGTATGTAACAACTTTTAGAGCGAATGGCTCAGTTAATTTTTAAGATTGATATCTTAAATTATTCGGTGAGATCCCTCGAGTGTTTTGAAACAATTTGAGTTAAAAACACTGAATTGTGATTGAATAAAAAATGTTTTATCGATTCAGTAACAGGTATGTGATAATTTTTCAAGTGTACACCTGGAAAGATTTTTATGTTTGATGTCTTAAATTATTCGGTGAGATCCCTCGAGTGTTTTGAAACAATTTGAGTTAAAAACACTGAAGCGTGAATGAATAAAAAATGTTTTATCGATTCGGTAAGAGGTATGTGACAATTTTTCAAGTGTACACCTGGAAAGAATTTTATGTTTGATGTCTTAAATCATTCGGTGAGATCCCTCGAGTGTTTTGAAACAATTTGAGTTAAAAACACTGAAGCGTGATTGAATAAAAAATGTTTTATCGATTCGGTAAGAGGTATGTGACAATTTTTCAAGTGAACACCTGGAAAGATTTTTATGCTGATGTCTTAAATTATTCGGTGAAATCCCTCGAGTGTTTTGAAACAATTTTAGCTCAAAATTCTGGCAACTTACTGTGTAAAGTGTATTTAAGTAATCCGCTAAAAGGTACATAACAATTTTTTGAGTGGATGAGAATGTTTTGAAACAATTTGAGCTCAAAATACTGAAATAAAAACAATTATTATAGTAAAGTACCTCGATTATAAATTAGTTTGAAATGATAACATGTGATTACATGTTATGAAAATGAATTGTTGATATTTCAATAATTAAAAAAAAAAAACATAAATTGGAAGCTTCTATCCACCATAAGGGAATGTACTTCCATATCTACTTAAACATCTTGGTGGATTGATAGGGAAATGACATCAACTAATATTTAAACTAGGTATAGTAGTCGGGTGCCTAACACCTGGAACCATGAGTAGTGATAGGCACCAGACTATTATACCAAGTTTAAATATTTGTAGATTTTAATTTTCCTATAGATCTACTAAGATGTTTAAATAGATATGGAAGTCCATTTTCTTAAGGAGTATAGAATTTCCCAAATTCTGTAGTCAGGTTTTTTTTTAATGCAAATATTGTTTGTAAAGTGTATTTTTCAAATTGGTTAATAATATAGTTTATAACATTCATAAATATACAAAATTACCATTGGACATGCTCCTCTATGACACCGCTGAGGACATACATGGACCCCAGCTTCACACAGTTTCCCACAGGTTTCTCCACAAGTAATAACATCTTCAACACATGGTATAGTTAAAGTGTTTCGGCCACAGGGGCATGTTCTTGGAAGGCTGCGTGGGCAGTCTCCACATTCACCTTTGTGACAAACTTTATCACAAATATGTTTTCCACAACTCAATGGATTTCCACAAACCTACAACATTATTAAATGCATTTAAATTTAACAATTAAACAATTCTTATTTTCAATCGAATAAAGAGGCACAGGAATAATTTCAAGAGATTTGGAGCCACAGATTTTTACTTTCACTTAACAAAAATTCAAAGTTTTGGTAAGTGAAAGCATTAAGATCTTGAAAAAAATTGAATCTGATTTTTAAATGGAAATACATGTTTTGAGGTTCCCTGAATTCAAAACACCAAGTTATTTTAGTTACAAGTTATAAGTTATAAATTATTTTTAAAGTCTATACTTCTATCTCCAAATGCAATGGATTGAGGTGCAACATAACTTCCAGAGAAGCTGTTGGGGTAGTTTTCATGGCACCAGTTACCATTAGCAGGCTAATATTTGTTGTTTGTGCAGCTGTGTCTTGTAACCAATTTTAGCTTGGTGCCACTAGATCACAGCTGAGTATATCATTCATGGTTTTAATTCCCAACATTTCTCCATGCCACCTTTACCGAACCATAGATATTTGAAGCCTTTCATAGTTGTGTTTAACGCATGATTGTTCCACTTTAGTTTCTGGTCCTCCATAACTACAAGGTGCCCATTAATCTTGGGTAATTACTACCTTTTTCTTTAATGTGAAGAGGCACAAATTAATATTGTTGGGGTTGATGCTCAGTCCAACGACTCCACAATAGTTCTCCAAGATGCCTGTAACTATCTTCATTAAGTCAGAGAGAACAATCTGATCTTTCTCACCTATAAGGATGACAATGTCATCCGCATTTCCTGGAGCGTAAAAGCCTGAAGTTTTCAGTGTGCAGAGCAGTGAGCCAACTACTAAACACCACAGTAATGGAGAGAGTACACCACCCAAGAAAACATCTACTTAGTTTAATCCGCAGTTCTGTGTGACCTAGGCCAGATTTGAGAACTCTTGTTTGCTAACCAACTGGAGACCAATGGTTTAATCTTCCTGATCTTTAATGAGTCAATAATGAAATTATAGGAAGTCCAATCAAAAGTACCTTCTACGGTGACAAAAGTGCAGATCATTATTTCTCTCTGGTTAAGGGATCCCTCAATCCTAGATGCTAAGTTATGTAAAACTGTTTAGCACAATTTACTAGGTTGATAAGTGAATTGATTAGAATGTATACGGTCCACAGGCAACAGTTGTTTTCTAAAATGCCTATCTAACATCTTTTCTAAAGTCTTCATCAGAAAGGAGTTTAGGCGTATAGGCCTAAAGGATAATTTTCATATTAGAAATAGGACTCTACAGGTGAATTTATAAATTTGAGATATCAAAAAACCAAATAATGAAGATCGAATTTCCAAAGGAACAAAGAATCACAAAGCTCAAAATGACATAGTTCTGCACTAAATAGTCTGATTTCAACAATTATTTTTTTCGTTTAGTAGGAAACACAAACAAAAACTCAATAAAGTTACAAAATTTCAACCTTCTAACTTCATTAGGAGGACATTCAATTGGATGGAGTATAATGTTAAAACCAATCATCTCTTTATAGATTTTAGAGCTGCTTATGATAGTATCGATAGAGAGCAGTTATACAGGGCTATGATTGAAATGAACATACCTCCTAAACTGGTCTGCCTCATCAGGATGACCATGATGGGTGTAGAGTGTGTCGTCCGAGTACAGGGAGACATATCACAGAGATTCATGACAACGTAAGGGCTGTGACAAGGAGGTGCTCTTGCATGCCTCCAATTTAACCTGGCACTTGAAAAAGCTATGAGGGACTCTGGCATCCAGACTACTGGTACGCTATTGAATTAAGACCATACAGCTATTTGCATATGCTAATGACATCGACATAATGGCCAGATCGATGAATGCTATGTAAGAAGCGTTTGTCCTATTTGAAGCAGCGGCTAGAGGGTTAGAACTGGTCATTAACGAAGCAAAAACCAAGTATATGTGTATTGGAGGAAGTGCTACCATCCAAGAACAGCACCTGGAGATCGCGCACTATAAGTTCCAGAGAGTTAATGAGTTTACCTATCTGGGATCTCTGGTAAATAGAGAAAGCAAAGGAAACCTAGAGATCAAGAGAAGGATAGTAGCGGCAAACAAGTGCTATTTTTGCCTAAATAAACATTTTAAATCTAAACTCTTCTCTTGTAGCACAAAGACACAGCTTTATAAAAAGCTTATTCGTCCAGTTTTGATGTATGGCTCCAAAGTGTGGACCATGACGCAAGGAGACGAGCGAGCCCTAGTGTTATCTGAGCAGAAGGTGCTCCACAGAATCTATGGTCCTGTGCACGATGAACAGAATTGAAGGATTAGACATACCACAGAGCTCTACAATCTATTCAAGGAGCTGAATGTCATAAGAACCATAAAGCTTACAAGACTACGATGGGCAGGACACGTGGCGAGGATGCAAAATGGTGAAATCCCCCAAAAAACTATGGAGAGCAATGAGCAAGGTTCTAGGAGAGTTAGAAGACCACGTCTGCGATGGTAGGATTGTGTGGCAAGGGATGCACATGCACTACTTGGTGTACTGGAAAGTAGCTGCACAGAATAGATAAGCCTGGTGGACACGTCTTGAGGAGGCCAAGACTCTTCATGAGTTGTAGTGCCGTGGAAGAAGAAGAAATGTGAATAATTTAGTTGTATACATACAAATATATTTAAAATATCTGTTATAAATCTTGCAGCTTCAAGTTGCCACATAATTTGGACATTGTTTGAAAAAAATAACTCCTTAACTAAATACCTTTTGGAGCATTGTGTTTTGTATATTATTACATACAGGGTGCTAAGATACTTACTTGTCTATCACACAGATATGATGTGATAGATATTGGCATAGGTAGTTATGTATAAAATGTTCGATGCCAAGGGGGGAGGGGATTTTAACTCTGGCATTAATCCTCCGCCCTCACCTCCTGGCATGGGAAAACCCCATATAGGCTAAAAGGCGAGGAAAGGAGAACAACAAGAAAAATTTCGAAAATGTATTAAATTCAATCAAACTCTAACGGACCAATCACTAAGAACTCGTAATGCTGCTGACAAGTTCAGATTTAAAGGAATGTCAGTAGTATTTTGTTCATTGACTATTAATCAATCGTTATCTTCACAAGCTACTATTATATTCTATACTTCCATAGCAGATTTTTGTATTGCATTTTATTTATACAGTTGTAAACTTCAATAAATGAATAACTTCATTAAAAAAATGGAAGGTAGATCAGCTGCACGAAATCTTAGAACTTCCCACGATTGAATAATTCATTCTCATTCTAAAAAAATATATAAATTTTATGGAATCATTGAAAGCACTTTCAAATCCATTTTTGAACAAGCTAACTCCAGCACTGGCTCCAGTTTGGTAGCAAAGCTCAGTATCTTCTTCCTATCTCAGATAGTAAGTTACTTAATAAGTAGTAATAAGACACTTAGAATAACAAAAATGGGTGAGCCCTATCACCTAACTGTTGTTTAATAATTATTGTTTACAACAAAATCTAAACACTTACAATTATGATAAGGCCTTAAAATGTGACACAGTTATAGTAAAAGGCATTCAACACACACAAAAAAATTATCAAATAATTCATTCAAAGTATTATATTATTGGGGTTAAGAAAAATAATAATTATAAATAAATGATAAGAAAAAAAATTCTCCTTACCTACCTTATTACAATGCCATTGAAGTTGAGTACAAAGCCTAAGTGACTTTTCAGCACCACAATCACAACTGACAAGTGAAGTCTTACCACATGGAGGGCAATGGCCCAGATGACATACTTTTGGACAATGATGTTGTTGACATTGGAGTATCTTTTCACAAACAGCACCACAAGACCATTCCTTTTCACTGCAGCGAACAATTTTCCTTTCACCCTTCTTGCAATAGCAACTAACTGAAATGGTTTTGGGGCAAGGAGGGCATGGTCCTGAGAAGCAAAGAAATAATGATAAAAAAGAATCGTTACCAATACATATATTTTAGTAAAGGAGAAACTGTCATCACAAATGGGATGGTAGGGGAGTACACAAAAAACAAAGGTATTTATCTGTTATTCATTGTTTTCAATTTCTTATTACATACTTGCACAACTCTTGCTGGTTGAATTCATAAAACTGTGTCAGGGGTTAGGCATTACTGAAAATTAAAATAAAGAGTACTTATGAATTTAAGATTGCTGATCAAAGTCTTGAAGAAAAAAACCACAATGTTTTGTCCAAGACATTGATAAAGAAACTTAACCATGTAAATGAGCCTTAAAATTAATGTACTATCTTATTTTAAGCAGTGATACATAAGGGCCCAATTATATGTAGGCAGTTGAATGTAACCAAATCACTTTCCTCCATAATTATTGGCCTTGAGTCACTACTTCTTTACAAAATACTGAATACAACACCCTTTAATTTTTAGTGGATTGCCCAATTTATATTGAACCAGATCTGGATTCATCACCCAGAGGTGAAGTGATTTATCATTTATGAGGCTGACTAATGTGGGGATGTGTATGGAAGTGGCCTAAGTACACTATGAGTGAACATCATAATAAATTTGATTCAGGATTGTAGAATGATAGACATCTATGGTTAATAACATGAAGGCTGAAACGGAAAAAAAAATTTAATTATTTGTAAAATACAGCCTACAGCATCATATCACCCCTATACGAATTCCCTATAATGTGGGTAATTTACTGGTTATTAGCAGGGGAAACATGCTCTCTGTCAGTATTTGTCAACCATGACTTTGCATTTGACAACCACATGTTCGGCAGTCTCCGGAACATTTACAGTTGAGACATAGGGGATCAATATTCTTCCCGCGTTTAATGAGCTTCGCTTGAAAACCTCCATGTCCCGTGTGGAGTTTCCAAGAGCCACCCTGTATGGGATACCCCATGGATTCCTAGCTGATTCTTTCTGGATGAATTCATCCCATGATCTTCGGTTCTGTGAGCACACCATATTTTGGTCTAAACCCTAGCTTTAGACCTATAATCATCATGAAGTGCAGCACACCTTTCTTCGTTACTACACTTCTGATATGTTCGGGCCTTGTAGAGCTCTCTCTTCAGGGTGGTTTAGGCTGGCGACCACCATGGGACAGATCGTTCTCTCGCTTTATGGTGTTGGAGGGATTCTTCTGTGGTATTTCTAATGACTTCGGTGAATCAGTATACTCTGTAATCCAGGTCATCTGTATTGTCAGCTCTTCATCTACCAGCTTTTCCTCCAGCACTGACCGGGAGAAACTCCAATCTTCTCTTGGGTGATATATTCTCTGTAAATACCGTGGAGCATCTTGCATCCTGTATCACATCAAATAAGCTTTCCTTGTGGTCGCCGCTCGTTTCAGATATGAGGGTCCAGTGGACAACGTGTCCTATGAGTGTCAGAGACGCCAACATAACTATCCAATTCTACCCCCGTGGTTTCAGAGAACATTGGAGTGGCAGACGGGTCATTAACCAGTTGGCCTCTTGCAATAAATGCACCAAGTCTGATACTCCTCCCGTCTGTTCGACTGGAACCCCAGACCGTGCTTCAGGAGTTGGTGTCTGAGTAGATGATCACATTCCAATATCTTCCAGTGATCGCTTCCATGGCAGATATACTCTCTCCAATATCACTTCCGTTAGGTAAGTACACAGAAGCAAGTGTAAAGGAGATACTAGCCCATCTGATGTAGCATACTATGCTGTCCATCTAAACATACTGTTTAAGACTCATCACATCGCAAAATTTGGGTTAGAGATTCCCTGCATCCTAAACCTATACTCGGAAGCTTTATAACATAGGGTTTCCAAGATGTCTACAATATTATCAAATTTTCCAATACAGCTTTCTGCTGAACTGTATTAATTTTCTTTACAGAAAGATATTATTTTAGAGAAGCTTAGATTTTTTTCCCCAATTGCGCGAAGCTTTCTTCTGATTCTTCGACCTCAAGGTCAGGAGTTCCTTCACAAGGGCTCTTCAGTTATAGCTCCTGTACTATTAATTTTTCTGTTATATGGGGGTCTTCCAGTATATCTTGCTCCTCAGGCGTATCTGGGGTCTCTAACGCACCCAGAGTCTTCGCAGATTCCTCTTATATTATGACCACAGTATCCTCCATGTTGTCCTCTAGGTCCATATTGAGTTGGTTCTCACTCATATTGACCACTCGAATTTACAAGGTGGCTACCAAACTATTAAAGTAAAATTCCCTGACTTTTCTCTACTTAATGAAAGTTTCCCCCTGACCAATATGTCAGGGTACACTAATGTTAAAAATCTGTAATGTATAACTATAGTTTATAACTATATTATCCTAATTATACTATGTTATCGACTTCCCGGAAGTGTCATTTTATATAATTGATTTAACACATTTTCACGATTTTCTCAAAAACGGCTTTAACGATTTAGATTAAAAATCTCAGTAAAGGTCTAAAATAATATAAAGGTTATATTCCTTTCTGTTTGGATTTTCATAGCCAAAATAAGTCTCCCCTATCTCCAATATGTTCGCTTTTGGACATTTCTTCATTGCTCGTCAATTGAGACATTCGCCATTGGATTGCCGAAGTTGAAGTTTTTTCTGAAAATCGACTCTAAGGTTTTCTCTTACTTCGGCCAACTTAAGCTTCTTTAGCCGTTTCTTTTCCACTGACATGGTTTCTCCTGAATTGATTTTCATGCAGAGGGTTGCTAACATTAGGTGGTGGTCACTGCCAAAATTTGCTCCCCTCTTGTTTCTTATGTCTAATAGAGATCATTGGAAATTTCTGATGACGGCAAAGTGATCGATTTGGTTCACGGTAGTCTGGTCTGGAGATACCCACAAGACTTTCTGGCATTCCTTGTGTGAGAATATTTTACCACCAATCATAAGAAGTTTATGTTCAGAACACAAGCTTTTGAATATCTCTCCATTTTCATTGACTTGCCCAATACAGTGCTGTCACATGTCAAGTGTTCAATTTCCACATTGCCTGAACTGGCTCCCTCTTCCGAACTCACTCCCCCCATTCAGTACAGCTTCCTAAGAAAGGTGACCCTAGGGTATGTACTGTTTATGTCTTTAGTGTCAGTATGAATGTATTGTGTACTGTTTGTGCACTTGTGGCACATTGCTGCTGCAATTCTATCTAACTTCCTCTTTGTGAGATTACTTCTTTAAGCAGGACAATGTTGTTATATGTTGTAGCCGCCCTCCTCGTGTTGTGTTCAACCATCTCTTTGAATCCTCTCTTGTCAACCTAGTTTCCAACTACCCCAATGTCATCATCTCCAGTGATTTTAATGTAAATATGCATTCAGAATCTTCCGAAAAATACTTCCTTTCTGACTTAATATTATCCCTTAATCTTTATCTTGTTCCTTATTCGCCCACTCATCACACACAGTTCTCTGACACCTGGTTAGACCTCCACATCTCTGACTTACCCCTTAAAATCCTTTCCTCCTCTCAACACCCCGTACCCTTTCTATCACTCGACCTGATCCAAATTTTGTATGACTTACCCGTGAAATCACTTACCCCCAAAATAGTTTCATATCGCAATTTAAACCTCCTTTCCTATGAATCCCTTTAACCTGACTTTGATTCTGTGCAATGGGATATCATGTTTTCCTATAACTCCATTGATTCTATGATATCCACTCTTCTCTCAAACCTAAAAACCATATTAGACATCCATGCTTATCAGAAAACCAGAACTATAAGTCGTCCCACTGCTCCTTGGCTGACTCCTAAAATAAAGCGAATGATAAAGAGAAGAAATGCAGCAAGGTGCAAATACCGTCAAACCAGTTTGCCTGTTGACTATGCATCTTTCAAAAAACTCTGCAATGAAAACCAATCCATAATCCAACTACTTCCACAATGCCCTGTCCAATGCTCCCGATTCCAAATCAAAATGGAAACTACTGCAAAATCTATCCCTACCAGAATCCAATAACCTCATTTCCTTCCCTGTAACTCCAAATGATCTTATCTTTTGCTTCCAATCCTTCTCCTACTCATGATATAGAACACCACAATTTCAATCCTGAAAACTTCTTTTTTTCCCATGTACTACGAAGTACTCTCCACTATCCTAAAATCTTACACAAATGATTATGGTCCTGACAATATTCCAGTAAAACTAATAAAATCCAGCCTTCCTACCCTTATTCCCATACTTTACCATATCTATATTTTTCATTGCAAAATTCCATATTCCCCTCCTCCTGGAAAACTGCAGTAGTCCGACCTTTAAATAAAATTTCTAACCCGTTCTCACTGAACGACTTCTGCCCTATTTCTCTCCTTTCCAACCTATCAAAACCGCTGGAACGCCTTGTCCAAAATTAACTTTCCAACTTCCTAGAAGAACGTTCCCTCATCAATCCATTCCAATATGGCTTTCGATCTGGCTATTCAACGCAATCTGCCCTCCTTAAAATAACCCACGACCTCCAAAACTCCATTGAACACCAAAACGTCACTATCCTCATCCTTCTAGATTTTTCCAAAGCGTTTGATACAGTTGACCAGAACATCCTTTTTATTAAATTGCAAAATCTTCCTCTATCCAACAGTGTCCTGGGATGATTCAAATCCTTCCTTTCCGATCGATCCCAGTATGTAGTCGTCCCTAATCAACCTCCTCCTAAGACACTTTCCCTCTCCTGTGGTGTCCCTCAGGGCTCCTCCTTATCTCCTACTCTGTTTGCTATTTACATTAATGACATTCCCCTCATGATCTATCACATCCAATACCACATCTATACCGATGATTTCCAAATATAACTATCCTTCTCCCCTTCTGACCTATTAGCCGCCATAAAAAAACTTCAAGAAAACAAATAGAATATGTGGCTGGGTAGGAGCTAATAAGCTGAAGTTGAATTCGGAAAAGATAAAGGCAATCCTAATAGGCTCCGATCACCTCCTTAAAACCGTTCCTAACATTCCAACTCTGTTCCTACATGATAATCCCATAAAATTTCATCCCACCATCAAAAACCCAGCAATAATCTTCGATCAAACCCTTTTCTGGAAAAACCATGTATCCAATATCTCCCGATGTACCTTTTCACCTTAAAGCATTTAAATAGCTTCCGTCAACTTTTTCCTCTTGAAATCCGCAGACTCCTGGTCACCTCCTTAATACCCGTTCCTGGTCTTCAAATTTATGTATAATGGTCCACCGAACTGCTGCATTCGATAAATCTTTTATTATTCGATCCTCATCCCTATTGAACTCCATCCCTCCTGACATCCGCCGTTCCAATAGTCTCTCTACTTTTAAATCCTGCCTATTTAATCACTTCCTTTCCATCCAATCCCTATAAACTTGTAAATAGAAATTTCTGTAAATATGTATATATATTATTAGTTTATTTTCATTTCATTGTTCTTTCATTTATTTCTTTTTCATCAATTTAAGTTACAAGATTTTTTTTTTTCTATTATACCTATTAGTTTACTTTTTAAATACATTTATATATATCTGAGGCTCAAAAGCCCACATTTTTGTCCTTGTTAATTATTCTAAAGGGACTCGTCCCAGAATAAATAAAAAGATTATTATTATTATAATCTAATACTATTTATTATGGTAGGAGGCTAGGCAAATTTGGTCACAGAGATGGCCAACTCATGCAACAAGCTTCAGACCTAAATAGACTGAGGACTACTGACTAATTGAACCGATAGATGACATCTAGTGAGCCCCATCACTTAAATACCATTTTATCATAATATCAATTTTAACTCCTCGTAACTCCTTTAGCACGCGTATCATCTATGCAGTGCAAAGGATTCTATCCCACAAAGTTATCTAATATCAACAAGAGATCTTTGAGGATAATGAAAAATAACTGTCAGTTAATAAATAAAATTACCTGGATGGCATAATAATAAACAATAGTGTCCACAGGAAGGAGAAAGACTTTTATTACAGACTTCGCCACACGAATGAGGGACTAACCATGGTTGAAATTCAGGATTATGCTTTTGGCCACAGAAGCAAAAATAAGCATCTGGAACTGATGTTTGTTCATAATCCTTACGACATTTAGGACTGGAAAACATAATAATAATTAATTTTGATTAAGTAAAAGTAACACAAAGAAATTTTAAATCTTGTAATTGAGCAAGAAAAAAAATAGTTAACCTTTCTTAAAATTAAGATTTTACAAGTTACAATAGTCCAAAAGTAGAATTTCAGTCCATCCAAAGCCTTTCTCCATGAGTGATGGGCTGATTTTTTTTTTCAGATTTAACACCAATCATATTTTACCAGTCGGATAGGACTAGGTTATCATTATGGATTTAATGCTAAAATAGGCAAGGAGAAGTTTTTAGACCAACCATACGAAAATAGAGTCTTCACACTGAGGCAAATGAAAATAGTGACATGCTGATAAACATTACTGTGTCAATGGACTTGATTGGGCAAAGCACACTATTACCAGGAAAAAAATTCACAATGAAACATGGTGCTCTCCACATGGTAAGACTGTGAATCAAATTGACCACATTTTGATCACTAGGTGACATAGATCTAATTTGATAAGTAGCAGATCCTACTAAGGTGGATACCAACCATTATCTATTGGTTTCTAGAATGAAATTCCTCCCTCAGTTGGTTCCTCCACTTCTCCCTCCAACTTCAGCCCTCGGCCTGCCGTACTCTCAGTCACAACATCTCTCCACCCTGACATGAGGCCTTCCAATCCTTCTACTCTCGGCCTCCCACTCAAATGTTGTTTCGGGAAGTTGTTCGCTATTCATACTTCTCACATGGCCATACCACTTATTTATTTCTTATATCTTATTTCTTCCATTATCTCTAGTACAGTATTCATAACTTCTATTCTTTTTCTAATGGTCTGATTAGTCATGCTCCAGAGCACTTAATTGAACATACCAATAGCTTTCCATTGGTTTGTCACTCTTTTTTCAATTTCCTTCCTCCCTCTTCCATTGCTTTCAAACTGGTTTCCATTGGTTTCAATTCATTGAACCAAGGTAAGCAGAATTGGTGTATCCTACAAACTTTGTCAGAAAAGGGTCACTCAACTTTATGTTCCCTGTCAACATATATACTGTTTTATCATAATAAATATTCATATCCCATTGTTTACACTGCTTGGTTAATTTTCTAAACATATAACTGATATTAAATTCATCCTGAGCTATTATCACATGGTCATCAGCGAATACTAGCTGACAAAAATGTTTGTCATTTATTGGAATGCCCATTTATGTGTTCAATTATCGATATACAGTTAGTAAAAAAAGTCTGGGAACACTTATTTCCAAAAAGAATTTTAATATTTCTTCATCCAATGAGTGATCTACAATGAAAATATTTCTTAACAATCTATTTACAATAAGTATTTAAAGCAGTTTCCAGTAATAAAAATTTTACTTAGGACCTAGCTTTGATACTATAGTAAATAATCAACAAAATGTGGTCAAAAAAAGGATTGACGAACGAGAAATTATGATAAATAGATAGATAGAAAAAAAACTTTATTCTGGGACTAAGTTCCTTTAGAATAACAAAAGTGTACAAAATACTACTGGCCTAAAAGTTTGAAACAATAAATAAAATAAACTAAAAAGTAAAGAAAACCTTAGGTGAACAAGCTATATACAATACAGATAAAACTATGTACAAAACATTTGAAGCTATGAACAAAACACTTAAAACTATATATAATCGTTGAACAACATACACTTTGAGAAATGAAGAATGAAAAAGAGATAGAATAAGTTCATTTCATAAAAAAAACTTTACTTATATATATATATATATATATATATATATATATATATATATATATATATATATATATATATAATATATATATATATATATATATATATATATATATATATAAAGTTAGTTATAATTGAATAAAAAAATATTTAAAAAAATAGATGTATTTTAGATAGAAGGAGCAGGTCGATGACGAAAGAGAGAGTTTTTGAGAGGAACGTGGGTATTGAGGATATTAAGAAGATTAGTGGTGAGAATATCAACAATGGTGTCGACAGAGAAGCAATAATATATTCCGTTCAAATCCAATGTTACTAGGTCAGGTAATATTTGTTCTCGAGTAAGGGTATCCAGTTGGCGGAAAGTGATAGTTCGAGGGTGGATTGGAGGAGTGCGGTTATTATACGCTATTTGTATCAGGTCGTGAGATGAAAGAAAGGATACTGGCAATTGAGAGGAGAGGATATTTTGTGCTGAGTCGATGATGTAGAAGTCTAACCAAGTGTCAGATCTGCTGGTATGGTAGGTGGAGGAAAAAGGAACGATGAATAGGTGAAGTAAGAAAAATAGATTTTCTAGATAGGATTTGTCATTGGAGTTTGAGGGGAAATTGGTATTGAGGTCACCAGAGATAATTATTCTGGGATAGAGGGGAACAAAGTTGAATAGGGTTGATTCGAAGAACGGATCAAAAGGCACGTGAGGAGGGCAGTATACCATAGCGTAAGGGATACGAAAAGTATTACAGAGAATTTCTACTAAAAGGTATTCTACTTGAGGGTGATCTGAAGGTGGGGAGCAATCGAGGATTCGGCTCTTCAGGCTATTGTGGACAAACATGGCTACTCCACTGCCAGTCCGGTTTACCCTGTTATGACAGAGCAGGATGTAATTAGGCAAAGAGACTGAAGAGGATGGAATGTAAGATTTGAGCCAGGTTTTGGATATTGCTATATGATAAAAATTTTGAGTAAAGTATTGCAGAAATTCGCCATAAAGGGCAAAAAGGGATTGAGAGTTAACAAGACATGTGATTAGGGGACTAGACATACAGAGGATTTGGAGGGAAACAGTGGGTGTTTGGTAGTGAGAAATCAAAACGAATAGAAAATACAGAAAAGTGTAGATGAAACTAAGTAAAGAAAAAGTGTATATATTAAAAATAAATAAAGAGAATGCACTTAAAAAGAAATAGATTGGTGAGTGAGAGTGTAGAGATAGCACTAAGAGCAGAAATAAGAATATTTTAATGAGGATAAGGGGTATATTAGCTAGCCTATAGAGGTGTCTGTTTGTGGGAGTCATCTCTTCACCCAGATAAATTCGGTGGCAGTCATTCTCTTGCCAACCGATATCCCGTGTGGAGAAAAATCTCTTAACTTTCCTTTTTTCGTTATTAAATCATTCCTCATTGATTGCCTGACAAAGCGCGTGATAACAGGCGGCGGTCACGAGTCATCTTTCCGGTTTCTGCGGCGATGTAAGTTGTCTAGGTCTTCTGCATTATGCCTGATCCCAAGCTTGCTCCTATACCGGTCACCAAAGCAGCGGGCCCGCTCACTCTGGTATGGCACGGATTTCCAGTGATCTACTTAATAGTTCCTGTTCCACGTTATTCAAGCGAATCTCAAATTCGTCCACTCGGAATTTTCTAATATTATTTCCTCAAACTTTTTAGCATTACCTTCCAGATGTTTTCCAATCTTCATCAGTCTTTGGTTAAGTTCAAAACTAAGTTCTCCGTATTTATCCAGGGCTGTTTTCATGTTTTTTATATTCTCATTCGTCTAAACGATTTACTACTGCAAATATTTCTGAGGGAGATGGCTCTGTATTTTGTTTTTTGACCTGGTCGCAATTAGAGCAAACCCATGCTTTTTAAATTATTTTTAGGGCTTCGATGTCTTAATCAGTAAGATTGACACACCTACTATGAAAAATTATTTTGGTAATAGTTTACATGATGCCCGCAGCCTTTTGGGCTGGGGTGGGGGCGCTTATCCTCAATGATAGTTCCTGGTTAGGTTAGATTACCCGCCTAACAATTGTTGCCCCCACTACTCTTCTCCCCACTACTCCTTATTAATGAAAATTAATTCAAAATTAGAATATAAATAAATACCAGGACAGTTGGTAGTAATAAACAACGTCTGATGCTGTTAGGATTAGTGGACGACTGCTAGCTCGTTGCTCCCAGAACTCTATCAATCTCACTGCATTTTCTTTACTTTGATTAGTGTGCAGATCCGACACTCAATAGAGTGATTATTAATAGTGTTTTTTCAACAAAGAGAAGTTAACTGAACTTAACTAGACTGAAAATTAAATTAAAGTAAACTGAGTTTATTATATGAACGAATTACAGCGATGTACACACGAGGGCATCTCAGGCCAGACTGAAATATGCTTGAAGCCCAAAAAACAGGTGCTGCTTTCATAGCAGGTATGCTTGAAAATGATTATGCCATTAAATTTACACCACAAACGGTAAGGTGATAAGGTGAACAAAAGTAGATCTGCTAGGAAAAAGCCTTTAATAAATAAGGTGAACAAAAGTAAATGTTTGCTGTTTGTAAAAGACAATCTGGATGATCATAGTAATTTCTGGGAACTAATTTTTTTCAGCGACGAATGTAAATTTACCTTATTTTCATCTGATGAAAAAGTTCAAGTGGTGGAAACTCAATCAAACGTTAGCAGCTAAAAACTTGTGTCTCACAGTCAGGCATGGAGATGGAAATCATGGTTTTGGGCTGTATGAGTGCTTCTAGCGCGGAGAAACTTAAAATTATTGATGGTATAATGGACCATAGACAACTAAAAGAAAATTTATTATCAAGAGAAATGAATCTTGGTATCAGGTCATTATTTATATTTCAAAAAGAAAAGGACCAGATGCATCAAGTGCAGAAAGGCGATGAGTGGCTAATATCCATAATGCCCCAAGACAATTAAAAATTCCACCCCAATCATCGGACTTGAACTCAATCGAACTTCTATGGGATGAACTATAGCAAAGACTGAAAAAAGGGAAAATTAAAAACAAATCACAATTTAAGGAAGCATTAATGTATGAATGGAAGCAAATTGAGCCTGAAGTCACTAAAAAATTGGTTTCGTTGATGAATAATTGTCTACGAGGTGATAAAAAATAAGGGAGGTCCTACAGACCATTGATTTCTACAAATTATGTATTAAGAATACTATTATAAAAATCATCATCATCATATTCCTGATTCCAATACCGCAGCGCAGTGTGGGCTATATCTTGTAGAGCTTGGACCAGGTTTCAC